GGATATGCACTCACATCCGTTTCCAACAAGGTCATATCCGCCTGCAACCTTGCACCCGGCACCAAGGCAGCCGCCCAACTAAATAATTGTAAGTTACTATGGTAATACTAACTCGAAGTGACTTACTGCAGGGTGTGTATATTCGACACCTGTGTCAATCATTGCAACTTGAGCACCTTTACCATAAATACCCGCAGCATGCAGCTTATCGACCCCCGTCATGCCATGTACTGAATAATTTGGTGAAGCGGCTTCATCGACAAATAGTTGTGCAGGAGTCGCAGCATCTAGCTTCACCATCTTGGACGGCCATACAGTGGCCGCCGCAGTGACTGACTGCAGGGTGTCGACATTTCCGTCGATTGAATCTACACTGATTCCTAAGAAAATGGGCGAGTCATAAACCTTCGTTATGGTTGTTCCTTGTAACGCATCAATCTCAGCGCGAAGTGCGGCTAATGATGACCCCTGTCATTTCAGTCAACTACAAATCTCGGCTAATATCCTCGAGTGGTTTGAATAACTCATACTTTCGCGACCTCAATAATGAATCTTTTGGGAATAACGGTCTCGTTGGTTATACTGATATCCACGAGAGACCCTTTGATGGTGCTAGTCTGCGCCGCCAGAACTGAATTAGTGATAGACAACAGTGGAACCAGAAATGTGGCAAGCATATTGTCGATTGAGGTGAAGATGCAGTGGTTGTGAAATAATGGGAGTGAAGTGCTCTGTTATTGGCCTTGGCAGTAATCAATGCTGACAATGGGAGGCGCGTGTTGTTATATGACTACTGTGAATGAGCTGAAGTAGATTTGGCTAGAAAGGTGGAACTTTGCTCGAAGAAGTTCCATGAGATGCAACGGTAAATGCGGAGTCTCGGCATCAATCGGACATTCAACAGACGGGCGTTTCTTCCAACTGCCTACTCAACTCTTCCTGCCGTTCTGAAGTCATTTCCAGCTATTTTAGAACTGACCTGCCTGTTTGGGCTTGATTAAAGGAGTGCTGCTTTGCGCTTTGTAGTACCTTGTAATGCCTTGTAGTGTGAAAAAATGACGATGAAAGCAACGAGATAGCAACAAGTTAACCCTTGCGGTGTTATCTTTACACCCCATCATGTCGGTCAAGAATCAGCCAATAGTACGAAGCAATCAAGTACTTCGCAATCTAGGGCATCCAAAGGGTCTGTAATGCACACGCGTACCGCTTTTCCTGTTTAAATTGTTAAACATATTTAGGTCGTCAATAGACTAGAATGTATAGCAAGGCTCAATCGCCGCTGTTGTATTTCATTGTCCTATTCTGCGAACGCCAATGCTTTTGGGGAAGGTGAAATTGGAAGTTAATTAGCGGACAATAAGGTTCCATTCGTGGGTCTCTGTACTTTGTAGAGGAATGTTCGCCTATCGGCTTTGGAATTGAATCATCAATTACACGTTTTGCAATCTAGCCAAATGCGACGCATAGCGCAGGTTAAAATGAAAAGACTCTAGATGTAGCTTAGTCCGGCGACCTGATGAGATAAGGCACTCAGCACGTCAGTCGGTAACATCATAGCCTTCTTGGTGCGACGAGAGGACAATGTTCGCAGGCCGATCGTAATTTCTCCGAATCGGAGCTGTCAAGCTAAGCTTTTGACACCTTTATGCTCTAGCCTCCATTTCTATAAATAGGTCGAGGTCTAAGCAACGGTGATCGCCCCGATTCTGCACGTGGAAACCAGGCAAAATTGGGTAAGGGTAATAAATAGCAGTCTCTTCAGATCGTCACGCGTCTGTATGCAGTTAAACGCAAGCCCAGACAAATGGCCTACTTGTTGCTATACTAGCGACGACCATGATGCCTCCTCTTCTCGGTTGACGAAGACCTTAGTATAGATATGTTTCGGCGAGGATGACTCGTGAATAGATGCAGTGCGTCAAAGCTGTAGCTAACCGACGAAGACACTTTGACCAGTAACACACGGCTGCTTCGAATCGACTTCTCGGTGCAATTGCGGACGAGTCTGAGTAATTTTGGCCATTCTAGATTTCGAAAGGGTTTGCCAAGCTTGAAGAGGAAGCTGTATTGCAGACCCCGCGATTTAGTGAGTTCGAGCTGTGCCTCGGAGGATTTGGGCTAGATCATGCCATGGGTCTTAACCTATGGTGTTTTCTCAGATCTTCTGGAGCTCCATTGACCCCTATCCTATCGGGTGATTTATTTGACAAGGTACAGTGATAGTATCGTTAGTTGCCTGACCGCGTTGATGCTAGCGTAGTAGAGTGATTGATTACACGGCACGGATCCCCGTTCGTGGGCCGGTGTAAGTCTTATCTCTGACAAGCTCACCGCTGCCGTAATATCCGAGGCAACCAGACCCCTGCCGTTACCGCCATTATGGGTCATCTCTCAATAAATAAATCCAGGGCGCTGGGTCTGGGGTACCATCGATGCTTGGCAACAAGTAGTGACCAACAAATATCGAAGCCGTTTCCGGTGTTATTATTGAAAAGCCCGAGACTCATATACTATAGACCCTGTAACCTAGCTACCTAACTTTACCCTATGAGTTGAGGTGTCAGGACTCCTCCGAGTAGCGCGACTTCACACGTGCTCCGAGAGTCGATGAATCGGCTGCTCCAAAGAGGGCGAATAGGGGGAGTCACTTGCTCGACAGGTAAAGGCAGCGAATAAAAACCGTGTCTTGACCTCTAGACAGCAAACAAGGGGTCGAGTGATAAAAATAGAGCACCAGGTTACCTGTGTCTGGCCCGTAGTCGAGACGTTGTCTGTCCCACAGTGGGCCGTCGAGGTTATCCATAGGTGCAATGCGACTGCGCAAGGTTGTTAATCACGCAACTGATAAGGAATGTCAACAATTTAGAAAGACACTAGATGTCGCCTGCCTATTACTGACAAAGTGCGTGCTAGACTTGATAGTGTAAAAGACTACTCTTAAACTGTCCTGCCAAATTTGTAAAGCCGGATCATGTTGCACCTTATGAGTACGACTCCATTCGCCCACGGTCTGCTATATACTGCCATGGCTGCTTCCACCAACATAGTGGTGAAATTAACAGCTGCCAACCAGGTCATTTGTCATTTCCGCCCATAGATCCATATATTTAGGGTTTTAGCTCGGGAAACAGAGGCTTCAAGAGATATTTACCTTTACCAGAGGCATCATGTTAACCCTCTTCGTCGTGGGCGCTCTGGCTGTTGGGCATATGGCCATTGGAGTGCGTGCACAACAAGCTGCTGGCGACATTTTGATTAAGCGTATTGCGCCTCGCTCCTATGTCATCCATGAGAGACAACCTGACCACTGGGCTTCTCTGTGGGAGAGGAGAGAGAAGGTTCCTGCTGACGCGCTGCTGCCCATGAGAATTGGTCTCAAGCAGCTCAATCTCGCTGATGGTCACGAGAAGTTGATGGATATGTAAGGATTTTGACTAAATTTTGACTGCTATAACTGCGTGCTTAGGTGTCAGCTAATCAAGACGGAAAGCTCCAACCCTCACTCCCCGTACTATGGCAAGCACATGACTGCTGAAGAGGTTATAGACTTCTTCGCCCCGGAACAGTCCCGTATTGATCTTATCATGGACTGGTTAACGGAGACCGGAATAGTCGCAGATCGGATCTCCCTATCTATTAACAAACAAGTACGTCAGCAAATCGCTCATTTCCTACCGTCCAACTCCTACAGGTTTTCCAGATACATTCATTCGTTGCTGATAATACCTAGTGGATTCAATTTGATGCTAAAACATCCGAGGTTGAGGATATTTTTTACACGGACTTTTTCATCTATGAACATTCTCAGACGGGCTCAACAGGCATTGCTTCTGACAAGTATCACATACCCGCGCATATCACGGAGCATGTGGACTACATAACTCCCGGGATACGCCTGCGTCGTGATCCCCAGAAGGTTGCCAATCTAAAGCGCCGCGATCAACCGAAGCAAGTCACTAGCCGTGGCATCGTAGCTGCTAACACTGGCTTAACTCCAATACCAGATGCTGTAAAACATTCCGCAGCTTCGGACACTTCACCATTTAATAGTAGCGTGTGTGGCACTTATGTGAGCCAAGTTTGCATCCGCAGTTAGTTCATTCATTTTCTGGGTTTATTATGGTTTTCGAAGCTCATACCACATAGATCAATACCGCATCCCAAAGGGTTCTACTGCATTCCCAGGCAATGAACTTGGAGTATTCGAGAGTTTGAATGATCATGTGTGGACTAAGGATTTGGATCATTATTGGAATGTTTTATACCCGTAAGTAAAGTGTTTGCTTTATCATTTCTCTTGATACGAGCGACGTTTGACTTGTGTCGGCATAGTGATATCCCCCAGGGAACATATCCTATTGAGAAATTGATTGACGGTGCAATCGGTTTTGCGGTGCAAACTACCGAAATTGGAATTGAGTCTGCTTTAGATTTTGAAGCTGCAATGCCACTCATCTATCCCCAGCAAGCAATCCTTTTCCAGACTGATGATGAATACTACGAGATTAGTCAGACACAGTCAAGCGAGTACAGTGGTTTCTGGAACAGTAAGTATATTACATTTGCCCCTGTATACTGCTTGTTGCCCTTAGTGCTCAATACTTTGAGCAATGGGACACTTCACTGAAACCCGACAAAACGACTAACTGTGAACACTGAAAGCTTTCTATGATGCGCTCGACGGTTCATATTGCACCTACTTAGCTTATGGTGAAACTGGTGACTGCACCGAGGCAGAGTGTCGAGACCCTTCATATCCAGACCCTTACGGCTATGGCGGCCAACTTATGTGTGGCGTTTACGAACCAACCAATGTCATTTCTATATCCTATGGCGGTGGTGAGGAAGACCTCCCTGCCTATTACCTTGAGCGGCAATGCAGCGAGATCATGAAACTCGGGCTTCAAGGTGTCACTGTTGTCATCTCCTCTGGTGACTATGGGGTCGGCGGGTATTCGGGCTGTCCAGGAGCTGAAGGTCAAATATTCTACCCTCAAATGGACGCGAGCTGCCCGTATGTTTTGGCCGTTGGCTCTACAGAGTTCGACGACTATGACACTCCCTCATGCAGATTGAACGAGGTGGCAACAACCAGTTTCGCTTCCGGCGGCGGCTTTTCCAATGTTTTCCCAACGGCTGATTATCAAGTGGGTGCAGTCCAAGCATACCTCAGCAACGTCACACTTGGCTTCACTGGCTACAGTAACTTCACCAATTTCTCCGATATCACAAGCGGAGTATTCAACCTCAATGGGCGTGCATACCCTGACGTATCGGCCATCGGCGACCGCTTTGTTACAGCCTATGACGAGGAGCTTTACCTAGTTGGCGGGACATCGTTAGCGGCTCCTGTATGGGCCGCTATTATTACACGTATCAACGAGGAGAGACTTGCGGCCAACAAGAGCACCGTTGGCTTCATCAATCCCACTTTGGTATGAGCAATGATTCCACTTCCAGTCTCAAGCCAGTTCGAGTATGAGATGCTGACTTATGATTCTGCAGTATGCCAATCCTCAAGTCCTCAACGACATCACCGTGGGCTCAAATCCCGCTTGCGGCTCGACGGGTTTCTTGGCGGCTCCAGGGTGGGATCCCGTTACAGGTCTTGGGTCAGTTTTGTCTGTGTAACCAACGATTGTATCTACCCATAGTGCTAATCAATGAATAGTTCACCTAATTACCCAAAATTATTGAACTTGTTCATGGGACTACCCTAGTCAATATGTGACAGAATACCAACCGCTTGAGATGAATAGAAGCGAAAAAGAAAAAAGGTTACGTCAGGTGTTCGGAACTTCAGAGTCTAGATCGTTTGAACGCAAGAATTATGAGGTTGAGTTGTTCATTGAATAAACCAGACCAGAAGAGTCCATAGTGGGTGACATCATGCATTCGAGCAAAACAATCTGAAATAATCATTGGCCTATACAAGCTTGGAACGCTATCGATCGAGTTGGGTTTCCTCTATTCGGGTATATCAAGCAGCCAGGTCAACTAAGGGTGCAGATATGGATAGAAAAACATTTAGGTCCGATTTGTAAAACCCCGTGTTTGCAAAGACTTCAATTCTTTGCATGCACAAGCCATTTTTTGCTTCATTCCGCCAAGCTAGGTAGCTCTTCTACGACTGTCGAGATCCACGAATGAGCGGCAACTCTAGTGTTAGTGTAGGTACGTCAGTGCTGACTGACGTCACCACTTTGTCGTGATATGACCCCTCATCCCACTAGAATAACTCTAGGCAACAGCATCGCATTCTTGGTTTTCCCTTCTCTTTATTACACTGCCCTTTGCACACACATTTCCACACATATCATTAGAAATCATACTTATTACACCGCCGCCATGATCCAAATTGCATCTTTGACCGCTCTCATCTTCCAGCTTTGCCTGGCGTCTCTGGCTATCGGCGCTCCGGTCGGCGACGAGCTAGCAGCCACCGGGCACGGAAACTCATGGCAATATGGCACAGGAGGCGGCATCATAGGACTGGTCGTCTTGATTCTCGATATTATTGTCTTCAGTAAGTGAACTAGGGTGGCCCTTTCTTTAGACCTGCAGACCTGTTGGGTTACTTTGTCGTCCACTGTTAACCGTGACTCTACCTTTAGTCGAGGTTTTAAAATCCAACCGCACCCCCGTATCGAAACTTCTATGGTGCCTTGTCGTATTCCTTTTCCCTATTGTCGGCATGGTTATTTACTGGTTGTTCTCTGACCGTGCCGGCCACAAAAGTGGCGCCGGCTATGAACCTGTGGCATAAAGTCCTACGAATCCTACACCGGCCTTTTAATCGGGTCAATATCCGAGGCCAAGGACTTGATCTCGATAATCGTATGCTATGTTCGTTCTAGCGATTGGTGAATGGATTATTAGGCATACGTACCACAAGTGGCATGACCATTGAGATCATGTGGGCTTTAGTAATACTGGAATTTGTTTTTGGACGCAATGTTGACGAATCTGCGGGATGAAGTCTCATGGAGTACCGTATAGGGAGCAGTAGTGTGTCTTTCCCTAGCCTGTCCTGACCGAAGGTTATTGAGTCGTATTGTATCATTCTGAGGGCTAGTTATCATCTTGTTAGTCCTTTTAGCCTTGAGGAGGTTGTATCTCAATATCGTGTGTCATCCCCGGAATTTCATTGAAATAGCCAAAGCCAGGATGATGTTCTGCAATCTCTCCATTGACAACCCAGAGTAATGTTAGAATCAAGTGTGAGAGAGTGCTAGATCAGAAGCTCCATGCGACCAAACTCGGGAGGCTGGGGTTAATATTTCAAGTTTCGATAATCTTGTTTCACATTGAGTTGGGGGGACTGGGGTCCTGTCCTATATGAATAAGGCTTGGAGGGCTCCTCAGACTGTAGTAGTAGAACTCAGACTTGTATTATTACGAATTGACCTACCTACCTGCCACCCTGTTTCAACATCCCGTGGATGAAGCGATTGGTATTTCAACTCTATCCATAGAGGTTCCCAAACAGCTTTTTAATTAGTGTGTATCAAGGTTCTCACACACTCACTGCTCAAAATACGTCATTTCCCACTCCAGTTGAGGCGGTTCTGTGATAATAATAACTGAGGTAAGCTAAAGTTCGAAATGGAAGTAGCGCCTCGAGGATCTTTAAAGATTTTCCTGCTCATGCAATTCCTAAATCGGGATTTTCGTGAATTTCACGTCTCCCCTAATAACCTTTCACAGACGTTCACAAGTTTTGAAAATCTCAAATGGCGATCCGTGTGGTATCCTAAAACCTTGTGCCGGACTCTTCTTCCTTAGTAAGAGCATGCATGAGTGAATCGGCAGGCTGAGGGGACTGAATATTGATAATCTACAATTTCTTTAATTAGCACAAAGAGTCCGATATCGCTAGGTGTCAACCTTTGGGGCTAGAGCAGGTTTGAATTTTACCTTGTGGATGAAAAACCGGCCTTCTCAACAAACTCGTGTTGATTTTTAATTGATCCTAGTCTACGAGTAAACACCCTTCTATTTTCCATTTAGGTTTTTTTTCTACGCGTACGTCAACTCTGCCTTCTTAGCCCCAGCAGCAACCGCTATACTAGCTTTAGCTCTTACTAGTGAAGCTTCTACTCTCTTGCTTCCATCAACTAAACCTTCCTTCAGCTTCTTACCAGCAACCGCAATCTTCCAGTCTGACTTAACGCTCCCCTGTGTGACCGTGACTATAACGCCTGTTTTACTTGCCACAACGGTAAGCGCCAAGGCAATGTCTCCCGGCTTCTCGCTGTTCGGAACCAGAATTTCCTTGCTCATATCATCTGTAGGGTTGATGAGCAGCTCAAAGTTCTGTGCCCAATCATAAACAGCTTTGCTGGCTTCAGCACCGATAACGACTGCGGACCCAGGTCGGAGAAGCACCGGAATAGAATCGAATCCGTGATTCTCAGATATATAGCCTGGACCTTCGCGAATCCTGCCATCAAGTAGACCATACCATCTGCCTTTGGGAACATAGTACTCTACATCGCCTTCGCCATTGAAGATGGGCGCAACAAGCAGGCTATCGCCTAGCAGATATTGAGTATCGACATGCCACGCCGTGCGGTCTTCTGGGAATTCCAAGAATGTGGCACGTAGCATTGGAAGACCAGTTTTGTGGGACTTGATAGCCATCGAATAGAGATACGGGAGCAGGGTGTGTTTGAAATTCACAAATTTCTTGAGAATTTTGTCCGCTTCCCCGGTAGAATCTATGAGCCAAGGAACTCGGAAGCTGCCGCTGCCGTGGAGACGAGAGTGCGATGAGAGAAGACCAAAGGCGATCCAGCGTTTGTAAAGTGCAGGGTCTGGATTTCCCTCAAAGCCACCAATGTCATGAGCCCAGTAGCCGAAACCGCACAGGCCAAGGCTAAGACCTCCGCGAAGAGTTTCAGCCATGGCTTCAAATGTGGAAAATGGATCTCCACCCCAATGAACCTTCGCAGATTTATCAGCTATCGTCCAAGAATCATGTCACTTATGAAAAAGAGTGATTCATACCGGGAACTGTTGAACACCGGCAGTTGCTGATCGAGCAAATACCGCAGCGTTGCCTTTGCCGAGAGTATTCTCCAGAACTTCGAAGGTAACCTTATTATAAAGATACGGATAGAAATTGTGCATCTTTTCTGGATCTGAACCATCGAAGTAAACAGCATCTCCTGTTGGTATACGTTCACCGAAGTCCGTCTGGTGCGCTTTTATCAGGGTTTGTATTTAAACGGTTGGCTTGTTTACTTACCTTGAATGAATCAACTCCCAGGTCGATAAGAGCCTTAAGCTTTCCCTGATACCATTTGCACGCTGCTGGATTGGTGAAGTCTACAAATGCCATTCCAGCTTGCCAAAAGTCATATTGCCACACACTGCCGTCTTTCCGCTTGATGAAGTAACCACCTTTAACGCCTTCGTCGAATATTTTACTCTCCTGTGCGATATATGGGTTGATCCAACAGCAAATCTGGAGGCGCAGAATGAGTCAGCATTTGAAATTCAAGATCAACATGAAGTTCTGATCTTACATGATTACCTCTTGCCTTGATTCTCGCAAGCTGGCCTTTAGCATCCGGGAACATTTCCTTATCAAATTCGTAATCACACCATTCAAAACCTCTCATCCAGAAGCAGTCGAAATGGAAAACACTGGTTGGAATATCTCTCTCAGCCATGCCATCCAGGAAACTGTTGACTGTGTTCTCGTCGTAGTTGGTTGTAAAACTTGTACTAAGCCAAAGTCCGAAGGTCCATGGCGGAGGTAGTGCAGGGCGTCCGGTGATGAGGGCGTACTTTTGGATGATGTCTTTTGGTGTGGCACCGTAGATGAGATACATTGAAAGACTCTCACCCGGAATGGCAATGTTGATCCTGGTTGTTCCTGGTGAGGTGTTAGTATGTAAGTAACACGCGTACCATTTATCATGACACTCTTACTCTCAGACTGAATCTCGAAAGAGATGAAGGAGGGACTTGGAATGAAGATACCATATCCTGCCGAAGTCAAGAAGAATGGGATGTTCTTATAAGTCAACTCGGATCCGGTTCCGCCGTCATCATTCCACATTTCGACAGTCTGAAATAGCGATCAGCGAAAGCCCTGGGGACATTAAATAAATACCAACCTGCCCGTTCTTTTGGAAAGGACCAAAACGCTCCCCAAGTCCGAAAACCTTATCACCAACCGCAAGTTTGAGCTGGTAAGTCATCCATCTTTTGCCCTTGTTGGGATCTGTATAGTTGGCTTTTGGATGAAGAGCCGTCGTGCCTTCTTTAACGTAGCCAATGGATCGCCAACCGAGTTGGGTCAATAGCTTCTTTCCGGCATGAAAATCTATGTTGAACGCTCTCGGCTCTGTGCTGACTGTTGCACTTACTTGTCCCACCTTGAAGGATAGGCTGGAGACGTCTTTAACAGTAGAAACCTTCTCTATGTGCTTAACTTCTCCATCCGGGAAGAGCTCAAAGTGAGGCCCGCTGGTGATGCTCTTCTGAGCCTTCCAGTGCGTTGACGAGACGAGAAGCACATCATCAATAGGAGAGCTTATCTTATGAGTTAAGGTTGGATTGTTCAAGATATCGCCCCGATGAATGATGGGTTTAGCTGCCTGCGTTCATGTCATTATAGTACGTTCACTGGGCACGCTATACTCTACTTACGGTAACAAAGTGTAACGAGTCCACACGTGCTTCAGCCTTCACCGTCTCCACCGCCCAATCAATGATTGTATCCTGCGCTGGGTGCCAACACCCATGGGAGAACTTCACCATGATGAAGGGATCGAACTAGAATGCGAAAAAGGAAGGGTCTTAGAGGTCTCTATCGGTCAGACTGTACTCGACATCCTCAAGCCTTTATCATGCTACCATTTTCCAAATGTGCCAAGGCTACATTTAACCAGCCAATTTAACCGCCAACGAACGATTTCGAGGCTCGGACCCAGTAATTATTTAACAAGCGGATACGTTGGCTTGCTGGTGCTCACAAGACCCTAGAGGGGCTTATAGACCCCCACAGGGTGCCATAGAGCCTCATAGGCGGGTGGGGGTTAACACGGGGATAACAACGTCGGAACACGATTCACACCCTGACATTGCGTAATCGGCAGGCGAGCATGCCAAGAATTATGGAAAGACGAATGATAGGATGCACTAAGCGCGTATTAGGAAATGTAGATTTAACCGGCAATATTAACCGGCGCTAGAGAAAGTCCGACCGGCGGAGTTTAGTTGACCAAAGCTTTGGTGTGGACGTTGACGCCCCTGTCACCCAAAAGTTCCCACGCTGAAATGTTGTAAAACCGCATTGCTGGTGTTTACCAATGCTATCTGTGGATTGCGGCGAAATTGACAGCAGTGCACTGGCCCAAGGCAGAGCCCTCCGCGCATTGCTCGGGGCCACACGAAAGCTATATTCTTAAACATCTCTCTTATGATGGGTGGTTTTATATCGGGCTTTTTTCGAGTGCTGACACTTAACTATTTTTGTCCTAATCGTTGCCCAAAACAATGGTAGCGAGACACACCGTACCGACTGGTCGGGACATGTCGTTCGGAACCTCGGACGTTGGTACCACATCCGAAGCTGGCGCGTCTCTTCCCTGGCTGAACCATCTCCTACGGTCATCGGAACTGATTGAGACCTGTGCTAGTAGTTTAGAGCTTGACCTCAATGCCCAAATAGACTGTGGCGTGCGCTATGGAATTTGGATTAGTGAGCCTTCGCAAATACTCCGATGCGGGACCGTCTTGTCACCTAGACCGCTCCAGAAACCTGGGTACCTGCTATCCAAGAGTTTCCTAGCATCGTCTTCTTTGTGAATTTCAAGTGTTGAATTTGAAGTTGCCATTATTGTACTCTTAGTATATTTGGGGATCCTAGTTGTTGTCACAAGACGAGTCACCAGAGTAGTAATGCGTGGTGAGCCGACTCATGCTGCTCGCATTAGTCTTCGTCTCAGCTGTGGGTATAGTCGCCAGGTTAGCTCGTCTTTTCTTCGTGTACTCCTGGTTAAATAAACCGGCTAAATCCCCCCAGTTCAGTGCCCCAGTATGCTGGGGCAGTGAGGATATTTTGCGGGGCCGTATCCCCCAATATCATGCGTTTATATATCTTCAACAGTTCTCCCCAGATATCGATGCAAATAATTCAACACCTCCACATATCGATAAGTCATCAAAATGGCAAAATCAAAGCAATCAGCCAGCTTGTACACTTGGGGATGTAGTTTGTTTGCTGCAGTTGGATCCCTACTCTATGGCATTGATTCGGGTATCGTTTCAACAACCATCTCTCAAAAAAGCTTTCTAGCCTACTTCGCACCCTTTGATCCAGCCATTAAAGGCGCCGTTGTAAGTGTCTTTGCCGGCGGATCATTCTTTGGAGTTCTTTTTGCAGGATGGTCTGCCGATTACTGGGGTGAGCTCTAACTTCATGGTGCTATGACCGAATTGTAAGCTGATTGTAATGTCTCGTAGGTCGGAAAAGAACCATCCAATTTGCTTCCATATTCGCCTTGATCGCAGGAATTATCCAAGCCGCATCCGTCAATGTTGGAATGCTTATTGCAGGTCGTATCATTGGAGGCTTCTCGGTCGGAATCATGAGTGTGTTCTCCGTGTCCTGCAACTCATCCATACCAAAGATGTTTTGCTGACAAGTTTCAAAGATATGACGATCCCGATTTATAATTCCGAAATTGCACCTCCTGCGAAGCGTGGTATGATTGCCGGACTGCACGCACAGATGGTTGGTGTTGGCTTCGCAGTCGCAAACGTGAGTTCATTCTCAATAAAGCCGGCTCTTTCAGCCACTGACAGACGTGTTTAGTGGGTAGGATACGGTTGTTCGTTCGCTTCCGGAGATTTCCAATGGCGATTCCCTCTTGCCTTCCAATGCCTGCCAGCAATAATCGTCATGATTGGTACTTTCTGGCTCCCATTTTCTCCTCGATGGTTGCTTCAGAATGATCGTGATGATGAAGCCTACACTGTTCTGAAGCGGCTCCATGGGAATGTAGGCCACGACGAGTCATTCTTCCAAGCCGAGTACTCACAAATGCGGGACCAAATCCATTTCGAGAACACAATTGTTGTCCGAAGTATCAAGGAGCTATGGACGAAGAAGAGTTATAGAAAGAGAATTGGTCTGGCAATTCTGGTTCAGATCTTCACCCAACTGTCGGGTATCAATGTCATCAATGTAAGTGTTGCCTTATGCGCATGAGATCATACTCCTGCATGGAGCAGTTTATCGTCTACATACATTGCAAACTGCACCAATCAAAGTGTAACTCTTGATAGCACGGGCTGACAAGAAATTATAGTATTACCAAACAGATCTCTACAAGGGTTTGGGTATTACAGGACATAATGTCACTTTATTGGCAAGCATCTATGGTATGTGTGGGCCAATCGCCAACGTGATCTGCCTCTACTTCGTGGATCAATGGGGTCGTAAGAAGACGCTATGGATCACTGGCATCATCATGACTATTGACATTTCCTTGGAAATGGCCATGTCTGCGGTCTTCACCAAGTCCGACAACGAGGTCGGCAAGGGCTTTGGCATTGCCTTCATCTTCTTGTTCACGGTCATGTACGTGCGATCCGTTCATGTTCATTCTTTGCCAACTAACAGAGCTCTCACAGCTACTCTCTCGGATACAACTCGATCCACTACATCTACGTCCCAGAAATTATGACCATGGCCATCCGTGCTAAAGGCAGTTCCATCGCCGTCTGCTGTAACGTATTGATCAACATTCTCTTCAACCAAATCTCGCCCATCGCCTTTGCAAATGTCGGGTGGAAATACTACTCTCTCTTCATCTGCACCAATGCTGTCGGAGCCATCACCGTTTTCTTCCTCTTTCCCGAGACTAAGGGCAAGTCACTGGAAGAGATCGGCGCTATTTTCGGCGATGAGGTCATCACAGCAGATCTGGACACTATTCAGCAAAAGAATCTAGCCAATGAAGAGCATATAGAAGATCAAGCGATGGAGAACGATGGCTCAATTGTACCAGCCCAGGAGATGGAATTGGGCAGTGTACATGTGGATAAGAAGACTGCGTAGAAGGGTCTGAGGATGTCTGGAAGAAACCTTCGAAGTCTTACTTGATTCCGGGGAGTCCTGGTCCACTAGTCCTACTTGCGTGTATCTACCAGAGACACATATAGAACTCATCTCAACAGTACGACAAATATGAGGTCTCCAGACACCCTCCACCAACTCAATGTCGTGAAGGTGCAAGGAGTACAATGAAACAGGGCAGCAGTCGGTGTCTTTCTGCTGCTGACCGAAACCCCCTCAAGATATCACATAGCCCACACAAAAAGAAGCATCCAGGCATGAGAGCGTACTGAAAAATGAAGCGGGTAGTCTTTATTCTATTGCAGTAGTAATGGCTAAGTGAAGCGAGTTAAAACGAAATAAGTAATAGCGAATAAGTCTTTGACTGCTTCCAGGGGTAAGACCATGCTTCTCCGACTCAACAACAGTACATTAGACTTCCCCCGTACTCTTAATATATGCCAACTTCTAAGATCTATTGCCTATCTTCTAGTGCTGTTGAGTCTTTTTCTTGTGGATAAAAAGTTGACCGGGACTATCAATAGCTACAATCTTTGTTGACTCGCTATATAAAAGCAGTATGGCTTCCTCATTAATAGTAGGCGTCTGTATCCTCTGTAACTGTTCTTCTTATTGCCTCTTTCGCATCATTTTCGCCGTCTAGCAGGTCATACCATCCACTCTTTATACCATCTGTTTCAAGCATCAACGCCGCCACCTCGGCTACTGTTTCACGGCTTACTTTCCCCTGCTGTGTCTTTGTCCTTCCCAATTCGATACGTCCAGCATGCCCATTAGTTAGCCAACCGGGGCGTAAGTCAATTCCAGCAAAGCTGGCACCGCGGTTTGCGACTGCAGTGTGCAACTCTTCGTCAGCCGCGAGCTTGGCGTCAGAATACTCTCCCAATTCTTTGTATGCATCTACGGAAAGCTTCCACTCCTCATCGCTCCACCAGGGGGGCTGACGGCTGCGTGCAGATAGCCAGGAAATAAGAAGAAATCGGGTGACAGAGGGAGTTGCGACTGCGGCGTGGATGAAGAAGATTGCCGCGTCACGATCGATGCGGAAGGTCTTGTCAGGTTATATCAGTCACTAAGTTAAACAATAAAAAGAATGAGACAAATATCAACCTCATCTGCACTACCGCCACCAGCACCTGCACTAAAGACGATATAGTCAGGATTCACTTCGTCGATGATAGCTTTAGCGCTAGCCTCGTCCCGGACCTTATCAAGGCTGGCTACAAGGACGTTAAGACTGCCGGGAAGGTCGTGCGCGAGTCTCTCAATTGTGTGAGCTTGTCGACTACTGCGGATAAGGCTAGTGACCCTCCAAGAGCGTTTCAATAGTAAAGGAGTTAGGAGCTGGGAGACTCGACCGTGACCCCCTATAAGAAGAACGTGGTGGCTCATAACCAATCAAATGAAAAAGATATAGGTGTATGTTCAAAATATGATAGCCTAATAGCTCTAAGTGATACCGAAAATCCTGGCCTCCAACCTCGAGACGAGGCCGGGCCAGCACATATTTAAGTTCGTAGGCTTCGTACAGAGCTCGGATACTCGGGGTTTAGCCGATTCTCCTGAGTAGGTAAGCATCATTAGGGCGTACAATCATGTTGGCGAGAATGGCCGTATCCTTGCGTCATAGCATAATGAGGGCTGTCTGTGATTGGACAGGCTCTTAGTAATCGCCCTGTCGCAAGGTGGTTCTCCAGGAAGATCTTTGACCCTTTCATTAGCGCAAGCCTTTACGCGAACAACAAAGGTCCTGTTCCGAAACATGGACAACTCACATAACAAGAACAAGATAATATCTGACGGAAGATCCTTGATACGATACGAAACAAGAAGACAAGTCAAACTTTAGCACGTTAATCCGAACTTCTGCGCTTGCAATTCTTCAAAATGAACGGATTAAAAGCGCTGGGGATTTCCGCCACACTCTGCCAGCATAGGCAACCAAATTCCTCCACATGCCTGGCGGCCATTTCTGTGTGCCGATTCTTCAAGCATTATACCAATTTTTCTCCAGGCGACATTTGAGGAGCAACGTGGTGCCATAATCGGGAAAATACCGCTCCGTTATTACCTTTGGATTTCTCATATCTCTATTTCATTTGACCACTGCACAAACTCCTGTTGCCAGCGAGAATGTAGCCGATCGCGCTGGATAATAAACAATCAACATGAAGGGAAGTATAGTTTATTCGATACACTCTGTTGCCAAAGTTAGGGGATTTCTTCTTTAAAGAAGACGTACCATTACAATCGCGTTCTTTAACCAAACATTACAGCAAATCAATATGTACATGCCAAGAAGCTTGATAGTGATACAGACTAAGTGGCAGGGTTCTATGAAAGACTGCACGTGACTGATAACAGGTTACTGATTCACCACTCCCGCAAACGGGGTATGAGGCGGGGTTGCGGAATTTTAACTCGAAGGCTATCTCACGTTGTTCTTCTTTCATCTTAATTTCCCTAGACGGCTCATAAAGTACCCAATTACGTTTTCCAACCGGGGTAATTGATATGTTGAAAATTGGCTCAATCGTTTGGGGCGTTAGAGATGTTCCTCGCGCTGTCGAGTTCTGGTGTGCGGCGCTGAACTACAGACCACTGCGTGAGCCTTCGGAGGACTGGGCAATTCTTGTTCCAAAGAACGATGTGGGCCAGGGCCAGCAAATGGCAATAACAGAAGTCTCATCAGAGGCTAAGAGTCATCAGCGTCATCATCTTGATCTATATGCGGAGGACCAGAGGGCTGAAATCGATCGCCTGTTGTCCCTTGGCGCTCTGGAAGTGGATTGGCGATACCCAGAAGGAGCTGACTACATCGTTCTAGCAGACCCTGATGGCAACAAATTCTGTGTTATCGAGAAGAAGACTTGATTTACACTCTGAAGCGAAAGTAGGGCATATCATGTCGCCTTTGGACGACTAGATAAAGCCTCATGGCTTCAAGATCTTAATAAGATCTTGTTCTGATAAAACAAGGCTTAGGTCGATGAGTCTATTCCTAAGTTTCAATAAGTTCCTCGCGTGAAATCCGCTTATTATGGCGTCGCGAATAAGCTCTGTTGGCTGTTACCACTGAGAGCCTATGCAGCGGCGGCCAGCAGCCCGGCGCCCAAATCCAGTCCCCAATGTCAGATCACTCCCTCCAGGGTAATGTCCATTAAAGAGACCATCCAGCATCTCACCGGCTCAATCAAGATTGAGGACAGGAAAGGTGGTGATCGATGAGTTAACCGCTATGACATTACTACTTAAATTATCAATATTGAGGGGTCCTAGAACAATCACACCAAGCCCCACAGAAAGCGCCGTTGATTTATCGTCTTGGCATGATTCTAAGTTTGAAGGTATTACGCCGCCAAGTTGTGCCAAGCCCGAGTATTGAGTGTCCGAATTGCTGTGCCCCGCAGGCACTCGTCTTTCCATTCTTTTGAGCAATCCACCAACCGATGAAACGAATTGATCCCAGAAGCAAAACAATTACAAGCCACCATGATTTGCCTCTCTAGACCTGATGAATCTGCTTTGCAGCATCTGAAATGGAACCAAAGTCCACCTCCTCTCGCGCCTGACCAGACTACTTGTCAAGACCTCAACGGCATCTGTAACCTGCGCGAGCACAGCGCTGGTCATCAAGGTGACGGGACCCAGGGCGTCAACGGGTGCTCGTTCACGGTTAGTGGTGATGAGAAATGCCGGGAGGAAATTGAAGCTTGGCCGGAGCCTCGCAGTTCTATTACTGCTGATGCAGGACGATTGTTAGGTGTGTAATTGCTCTAATCTCACTGTGAACGTATCATGACTGAGTTTTCCCTATGAAAGAACCTTCGCTCTGCCTCAAAACGGTCTATGGTGGTGAAGGCTATGGCCGCCTTTTTGCCGGCGTGCTTCCCTCTTGGTGCAATTTGCATCTCTGGGGCTGTGCTGCCTGGGTAATCTCTGTTATAGTTGTATCTTCACTTATCTCACTGGGAAGATCTTTGTACACTGTGGATTCATCTTCCTCGTCTGAAGTTAAGCATCATTCCGCCCCTGCCGTCGAGTTCGCTATGGTTTCTGTGGCCAAGAGATCTACCTGTGTTTCTGGCGGCGTGAACAAGACCATGTATGATTTACCTCTCCACGTCGGCGCTCTATTCATTATCTTGTTTGTCTCTACGCTGGCATGCGCTTTCCCTCTTCTAGCAAAGAAGTTCCCAGGGTTGAGAATATCTGGGCGCTTTTTCTTCGCTGTCCGGCATTTCGGCACTGGCGTTCTTATCGCAACGGCATTTGTCCACTTACTACCGACAGCCTTCATCTCGTTGGGTGACTCATGTCTCGACGACTTTTGGATCAAAGACTATCCTGCAATGCCGGGGGCGATAGCCCTAGCTGCCATATTCTTCGTCATTATCATTGAGATGTTGTTCCACCCCGCTCGTCAGATTCGCCCTATCCAGGCTGTTTCATCTCAAAGGCAAAATCAAGGCAGTCAACAGAACATGGGCGAAAGCGGACATCCTAGTCTTAGCTGCATGGGAAGTAATAATGATCTTCCAATGCACCATATGGGATCCCTCAGGGGCAACTCATCTAGTATGGGCCAGGAACTGAGTAGGCTCGACAATGCGGGAACAGAGCTGCTGCGCCGTGATGGCGAGATTTCTCGGCCAGAACCAGGTCGAAAGTCTGAAAATACAGCCGATTATAAAGTTTCAAATAAGAACTTGACACCGGAACAAAGGCATCGCAAAGAATTACTTCAATGCGTCTTGCTAGAGCTCGGCATCTTATTTCACAGTGTTTTCATCGGAATGGCGTTGAGTGTCTCTGTTGGAAATGAATTCATCATCCTTCTTATCGCCGTCGCATTCCATCGTCAGTTGAAAACCCCTAGTCCCTAGAACAAAGTAAAAATTGCTAACAAAGAATGTATAGAAACCTTTGAGGGTCTCGCTCTTGGATCTCGAATATCTGCTATTAAATGGCCGCATGGCGTA